AGAATTCTGACTTTCTCAGAATTCTGACTTTAATCTCAGAATTCTGACTTTTTTCTCTGAATTCTGACTTTATTCTCAGAATTCTGACTTTCTCAGAATTCTGACTTTAATCTCAGAATTCTGACTTTTTTCTCTGAATTCTGACTTTATTCTCAGAATTCTGACTTTCTCAGAATTCTGACTTTAATCTCAGAATTCTGACTTTTTCTCAGAATTCTAAAATTCTAACTTTAATCTCAGGATTCTGTCTTTAATCTCAGAATTTTGGCTTTTTCTCAGAATTCTGATTTTCTCGGAATTCTGACTTTAACCTCAGAATTCTGACTTTTTCTCAGAATTCCGATTTTTTCTCAGAATTATGACTTTAATCTCAGGATTCTGACCTTTTCTCAAAATTCTGACTTTCATCCCAGAATTCTGACTGAATTCTAACATCTAACAAACATGTTAGCATCAAGCTGTAGCCACGTCTGTTTTAGCTCTCGTTTTAACTACCTTCTGCTCTACTTTTTATGTGCCCCTCGGGCGCTTAAAAAGGGGGCAAAAAGGGGGGTGATTTCAGGGCAAACTCCTACATCCGACGCCACTGTCGCCCCATAACCAACTCATATCTTTGTCAGTAAAGCTGAGTGCTCCCACATCTCTGTCTTCAGGGTGCCCTAAGATCCAAAATTCTGGGATTAAAGTCAGAATTCTGAGATTAAAGTCAGAATTCTGCAAAAGTCACGCATACATGCACAAGAAAACAATCTTATTCTTCTTCTGACAGTCGTAAATTCCAAAAATCTGTAGTTATAATAGTTCCAATGCGAAAAAAAACACCCAGAAAGATAGTTTGTTTAAAAAAAAAAATTCTGTAACCTTTTTAAAACAAAAACAAAGCAAATCATGTTGCAACATGCATCAACGGATAAAGTCAGCATTCCTTTTTTTGTTTAGAAATAGAAAAAGAAAGCAAACCTTTTGAACCTCTTGACAAACATGTGAAAAGCCAGTAAATAAATGTGGCTTTGATTCCAGTAGCACAACCTATTTCTGGAAAGTGAAAAAAAATCAAATCTGTAATCTTAAACATGTTTAGAGTTATTTAATTACAACTTTCAGTTTCTGTAGGGCATTAGATGGAAGTGTCTTCCTTTTGCTCTCTGGTCCATAAAGCAGAAGTTAGTAATCTAGCCACCATAGACAGTAACCAGTATGGTAAAGGATGTTAAACAAATCTGCAAAGCATCCTCAGCAGTTGTGGTTCTAGACCAAATGTACCAGGGGGCCAGAGAGTTTTTCATGGGGGCAAAATAAAGCATGAGATAAAAAACAAGGCAAAGGTATTCAAATATACAGCTGAAGGAATAGCGTTGAGTTTGATGTTTTATACCGTAGCCCAACAAAGCCTTGTTTATGTTTTGAAAACATGCAAATTGGAACAGATGAAG